GACAGAGTGGCCCCATCTTACATTACACAACTTCAGTCCCACCTCTGGGGCCCCAGGGCTGAGTACCTGCCCAGTGGAGGCCAGAAGCTGGGAGAAGGCCCATAAGCCCAGGAGAGAGGAAACAAGGGCAGAGCTTGAGAGGCGTGAGATATACCAGTGCCAACCGTTTGGGGTGGCCAATATTCGACTTCTTTGACCCACGAAGATGGCAGCTTCATGTGGTTCAACCTAATAATACTTATTATCGCTTGTACTGATATTCGGAGACATGTTTCTTTGAAACCAATCTTTTCATTCAGTTGAGCATTGACTGAGCCCCCCGCCGTGTGTTCTGTCTGTACCAGGGGCTGGGGAGATGGTACTGAGCACAAACAGAGCTCCTGCCCTCATGGAGCTTGTGGTCTCATTGGGGAGCATCCCCGCTGTCCATTGCTCTATAAAAAACCACCCCAAAACTCAATGGCCTAAAGCAGTGATTATTATTTCACATAGCTCTGTGGGCTGAGTGGACTTGGTTGGGGTCCCACTTGGCATTTTTCATGTAGTTGCCGAGTGAGTTGAATCTGCTGTCATCTGAAGGCTCGTCTGGGTTGGATGTCCAAGATGGCGCACTCCCACGGCTGGCGGTTGGTACGGCTGGGGGCTCTGCTGGTGCTGTCCACTGGAGCAACTACACCGTCTCCATGTGGCTTGGGCTTCTCATGGTATGGCAGCCGGGTACTACTAGGTAGTGTCCCAAGAGACCAGGAGACCCCGTGGAAGCTGCAATCCTTCCGACCTAGCCTCAGAAATCCCAGAACATTGCTTCCGTTACATTCCAATGTCAAGGGAGTCACTGCGGCCAGCCGGGCCAGAGGGCAGTTGTGCAGGGGAATTAGATCCCTCTTCCTGATGGGCGAGTGCGGGTCTCACTACAGAAGAGCGTGTGGGATGGGAGGTGTTGCTGCTGCTGTCTTTGGAAAATGCAGGGTGCCACAGGGAGGCGGGGAGGAAGAAAGTTAACCTACCAAAGCGTGAGTGAACACTATGCCAGGGGCACTGGCGGCAAAGGGAAAAGGCACTATGGGGTAGGAGTGCTGGGCATCCGCGTGACATTGGCGCTCAGGCCTGTAGGGCGGCCCGTTAGCTGGGGGAAGAGTCCCGGGGGAACAAGAGTGTGGAGCCCTTGGTGGGACAAACTTGCAATCGAAGGGACTGGAAGAAGGTCTGCGTGGCTGCGGGGCAAGTGATAAGTCAGTGAGGTCGGCAGAGCCCTTACTGGACCTTCGGGGCCGGGACAAGGATCCTACACGTGACTGTGAAGGGTTTACAGATCCCTCAACAGTTTTTCATTGAGTCTCCACTGTGGCGAGGCCGTGTAGCAGGGTGGTTTTGCTTCAGACACAACTGTGCCTTGCTTTGCACCAGTGTCCTCAAAGAAGGTTCCCGGCAGGCAGCAGGTGCTCCAGAAAGGGGAGCTGCTCTTGGCGAGCTCCTGGCCAAAGGAGTGCCCAAGTGCACATCGGCGTGCGCAGAGGTGTGCACGTCGGAGAACAACGAGGCTGTGAGTTGTCCAGTGGGGAGCGTGAGGCTGGGGAGGTGGGGAGCTTTGTCCACGGGCTCGGTGACCTTAGGGAGAGGTCCCTATTCACCACCGCCCAGCTCCGGCCTTCCCAGGCAGCCCTGGGAGGACTGGGGTAGAGCCGAGGGAGGGAAAGGCTCCAGGGCCTGTTTTCGGGAAGTCCTTCCGAGCTCCAGAGGCCTGCATGGAGAAGAATGAGCTCCTCAGCCTGCTGACTTTGCTTCCTCCGGGCGGGCAGGATGGTTGGAGAGACCATTGGGTCCCCCGGTGTTCAGGCCCAGAGATCACAGTGTCAGAAGCTCGAAGCAGCACCTGGGATGGGGACTCAGGGCTGGTGGCGGCCTCTGAGCTCTTGCCTTCTCTGTGCTCACTCAGGCAAGGACTCGCAGGGCTGGATGAAGGCAGGACCTGGGATGGGCAGGGCCACCCCTGACTAGTGAGAGCTGGATCAATGGAAGGGGGGACGGTCCATTCACTCAATCCCCCAGGCTTCCTGAGTAGCTGCTGTAGGAGGGCCTGAGAATGAGGAGACCCCAAGGGTGCTCCAGGGGAGACATCACCCTCAGGGCTTTCCCCTCCCGGGCCTTGGAGAGCTTAGGGCTCCAAGAGGCCCCAGGCCTGGGGGAAGGGCGTGCTGCTTAACGTCAGCTTTGGATGACCCCCTAGAGCCTCTATTTCCTCATCTGCAAATGGAAAAAGAGCACCATTTACTCTTTTCCCCTTGTGTGAGGTTCAGAGCCTGCGGGCAATGAAAGCGCGTTGCAGGGAGTAAAGCTGGAGCCGGATGGAGGGCTTCCTGTTTTGAGGTTCTGATTTTGCTGATGCAGGATACTGAATACTGGGTCTTCAGGGGGATCCTGATCTCCAACTTCTTCAGGCCGCTGGTCTTTTCTCTCGGGCCGCTTGTCTTTTTTCTCTCTGGCTTCCCGAGGGCAGGCTGGCCGGCCGTGTGACCCCCTGGGACCTCAGAGGATGGGGGTCCCCCACCTTTGCCCGCCTCCCCTCCCCTGCCCCTTTGTGCGCAGCCACCTTGCCTTCCCATTAGTAGACAGTGGCAGGGGAGGTGACAGTTCCTTAAAACAGATTTATACTCTTGGATGACTTTATGGGTTTTTGCCTTATAAAAACCCAAGAGTTGACATCCTGATTTATCTACTCCTGAGTCAACAGGATGTACCAGATTTAAAGAGATCAAATGCGTTGTAATGTTTGTGGTTCCAGTTGTGGATTAGATGAGCTATTATGGAAAGTGCTGCCAAGTAAATATGGCAAAAAAAAAAAAAGTAACAAGGGGATAATTTAAATATGTCTATTAAATTGTGTGTTAAGTAAAGTAGCACAAGTGTGGTGCTGAATGTAACTTATTATCTGGAGAGTTCGTCTAGTAGATAAAGCTGCAACGATGGTTCCTTCCCTCCCTCACACCCAGAACATTTTTTTTTTTTTAAGGAAAGAGACTGTAAACTAGGAATTTCAGAGACGGGCGCTTGACTGCGTAACCATGGCTGTGTGATGACTTATAATACTGAAGGCTCCAAATGATATTTCTCATTTCTTTGCTTTCTATTTCTTGTCGCCACGGCAGCAGCCGATCAGATTTCCTGAGATAAATATGCTGCCTGGCTTTTAATGGGATTTCTGTATTGCCGGGAGTTGGCGTGTTCTGATAATAAGAGAACCTAAAAATTGTACATCCCTTAATTGGTAAGAAGAGAGATGTTTTGATGGGCCACAAATGGAAGCATTGATTTTTACTGCCTCCGAGCAGTTGCGAGCAAGCGGCGTGTCACGCCACGTTCCCCGCAACGGAAGGCGGCAGCTGGCTCTCCGATGAGCTGATTTGTGTTCGCAGGTTCTTGATGTCGGGTGCTTGGAAGTGCGTGTTTTGTGCAGGTGGGAGAAATAGAGCCCGTATAACATTATCAGTTTCTAAATTGAAATATTTATAGGACTGTGGCTTCCACCTCGAATCGAATGCGTTCTTTGCCTCGTTTCTCTTTCTTGCTTTGGTGACTGGTCCTCGGGGGTTTAAAGGTTGTGTGCTGAAGGTTTTTGCTGTAACTGCAGGGTTGTATGTGACACACATCTGTGCACACATGCTGGCACACACGCCTCCTTACCTGTGTGTGTGGGTTTGCATCAGCGCCCTTCCACGTGATAGAGATTTCTCTTTCCTAGTTCACATCAGTGCTAATTTCTGGATGGGTAGATTGTTTCCCAGGACAGACCGTGGACGACGTAACACGCTCTTGGATTTTCCAGTTTGAGTCTCTCTACTTCAGTGAGGAAGTTTAATCCACTGACATTTATGGGGATTACTGATATATTCTCTGTGTTCTATTTACCGTGCTTTTTTTGCACTTTGGTTTACAAGTCCTTGATGTGTCCTATTAATTTCTCAGATTGAGGCTGTGCTCCATTTCCCCCAGCCGTGCGGGCAAGTGCAGTAGACAGGAGTCAGGATGTCGAGTTAAACGTCTGTCGGGTGCTGAGGATATCGTGTCCCCTTACCTGGGTGTCAGGTGCCTCACCTATGAAGTGGGAATAACAAGGCTGCCCCTCTCTGTGGGCAGGGGCAGGACCGCATGATGGTGTGAGCTCCCTCTTAGCTCTAGAATGTGTAAGCCTGGGAAATGGGGCTATGCATATATAATTGGGGCTTTGAAAAAGCATGTGGAACACTACGTGAAACGCAAGGCATCATTATCATGATCCTTAACTCACTTTTCTGTACAGTTTAGCCACTTGTCTGCATAGTGCTAAGCACAGAATAGGTGATTTATTTTACAGAAATTGGTTGAATGATTCCAAAACTGGTTCTCACCTTCTAGGCTGATCCCAGGGCATGAGTGAGGGCTCAGATGCAGTTTACCTTGTGATTTGACTATCCGTGGTCTTACAAACACACGTGCTTCCTTGATTCCAGGATCAGGACGTCTTTGCCAAGAACTGAGCCAACATCGCCACATTGGGAGGCATGCCGTGTGGACGGTGAACTTGGCTAAGAGATCTCCCTTGCTGTTAAATTGCAAGGCTTTGTGGGGTGGGGGGGCGGGAAACGAAACGTTTAGGTGCATCAGGAGCAGCTGATGGAGGCTCTGGAGAAATGTGTAAGAGAATTGGGTTTTCAGGAGACAAAATGCAAAGGCATTTTCACCTCCGTGATGGGTCACGACCCCCAGCATCCATGCGCAGGGGGAAGATGACAGGAAATCCCCCTAGAAGATTTGCACCAAGAATTAAAGAACCTAGTTGAGAATTATGGCATCACACGCTACAAAAAAACCCCCCATATATTAATATACTGAGAGGTGTCAAGAATAATGGACCCTGGGAGGTAGAGTAATTAAACGTATCTTAATAAATGCTGGGCGATTCTTTTAAAACCCTTTCCCAAGACCCCGTCAGCTGACATGGATTGTATTCTTCCTGTTGGCAGGAGGCCTGGAAGGAGAGCCTGAGTGTGATCGGAAAACCAGCCGTGCGCTGGAAGACAGGAACAGCGTGACAAGTCAAGAGGAGAGAAATGAGGACGATGAAGACATGGAGGATGAGTCAATTTACACCTGCGATCACTGTCAGCAGGACTTCGAGTGTCTGGCAGACCTGACGGACCACCGGGCCCACCGCTGTCCTGGAGGTAATGCTAAATAGCGCCGGGATTCTGACAGGTGGTTATATGGATAATTGGACATAGCAACAGCTTGAAGCCTCAAGTGAGATTAAAGAATTAATAATGTAATTTTACAGTTAATGTCATTTTATTGTGGTGTCTTGGGCACCCTGTATCCGCCTTTTAAATAAAATTAAAAATAAAAGCAACAGCTTTCTGGCAGGCAGGGATTTGGGGGAAGCACCCCGTTGCTGCCTCCCCCAAAACCGCCATCTCTAGAATGTGGGCCCAAGCCCGGAGGGTCTGCACCCTGGATCTCTGCAAGGCCTTTTGGAAACCCAGCAATTAAGAGGTCGTTAGTGCAAAGTTAAGTAGCTTAAGTGTGGAAAGCTGCGTGAAGGAGTGAGCTCGGAGGCTGGGCTTCGATGGGATGGGGGGAATTTCAAAGGCCAACAAGAGCCCATGCAGAAAGGGACCTGGTTCCACCTCTGTGCTCGGCCTCCTGCTTCTCTGAGCAGGAGAGGGCTGGCTGGGAGCTGTTCTGCCAAACCTGACTATGGCCCTGTTTCCTGTGTCCTGGCAGCCTCAGAGAAGGGGGCCAAGGCCACGGTTTTACAGGAGCGATTTAAGACGTCATGAGTCATGTATGTTTGTGCGTCTGGGTCCTATGGGGTGGATGGAGTGGGACAATGGGGGCCTGTGTCTTGCCTGGGAGTGTGGCAGCCATGCTTACAGGGGCAAGAGGCCGACACAGTTTCAGGCCCCAAGCGGGGAGTCCAGAGCATCTGTGGTCCAACATCTCTCTCCATGGTGGCCGTTGACGCAAGGCTGCAGATGCCGGTTTGCGGGGAGAGGAACTAACCAGAAACAGTGGACCTGAGAGGATTCTCCCAGTTTTGGACTTTTGGGGGGCTCAGGAAACCAAATCCCAGTCATTTGGAATTTGTGCAATTTCAACCACAGGCAGAGGTGATGGCCAAGCTTAGGATCAGAATTGGAGGGACATATGGGGTTGGCTTTTCAGGCCCCTCATTGCCCGAGGGGAAATATTGAGGCGTGAGAGGGGGTGGTGATTGACCAAGGGCACCTAGGGATTTGGTGGCCGAGCCAGGACCTCTCCAGGACCTGGGCTGTATGCTCTCATTCTGCTCGAGAAAATAGTAGATGGCCTGTTTATTTCTTGATTTAGCCCAGAACTGAGGTGGAATCTTAACGATACGGGAATGAAATATTGTCCCTGACTTGGAAAACAATCAATGAATTGATCTTCTAATTAAAAGTGATTCTCTTTATTTTCGGAGTGTAAAAGAACCCGTGGGGCTCACCTAGCATCAGCCCAGGCCCCCTCAGGACTCCTGCGAAGTGATGCTGTGTTGAGTCTCTGCGGCTCTTGGAGTGAGGCCCCATGCCCAGCACCACTCAGTTCTTCAGAACCAAGGAGATTCTCTTGTCTCTCTCCACACTTTCAAGAATGGTAGTGTTTCCAGGTGGCAAAGGACCAGTGTGAGGCTTTGAGGCCGAATATCGGGGTGTTTTGCTGGAAATAGTAGCTAAATTGTGCCTTCGGTCCTGGGCAGGCCTCTTTTCCCAGTGGCTTTCTCTTCTCTCCAGAGCTGCAGCCTGGCTGACATCATGGTAACTCTGTCTGCAGGGCCTTCAGCCACCGACACTCCTGCCTGCTTCCTAGCAGGACCCCACTAACGACCTCCATGGGGACGTGGGAGCCAGGAATCCCCAAGCCCTGGAGCATCGGAAGGGAGTCAGAAATTCCTTAAAGGAGTATGGGAAACGACCTTGCCTAATAGCATCCCTGAGAAATTCATTACCGCCCAGTAAAGGTGTGACCCAGTCTGGAGAGTCTCCCTGACATGGAAGTAAAATGTCAGGAGTGATGTTCCCCCAGGTCTTAGGTTCTGAGGATTACCCAATGACAGGATAAACCACTGGGAATTGTGTGCATATTATTCAAAGCAGGTCCCTGCCTCGGCCGCCTGCACACTCTCTGATCTGCAGTGGTTTCCTACTGTGTCCGCAGAGATGTTTCTGGAACTATTGGGGTGAGCATTGGGGCCTGTCTGACTGAGGGGGCTCTGATACCCACTCCAGTCAGAGCTGACCACATTAAAAAGTCTTTTATATATTGGGCTTTAGCACAAGATATGTGAAAATTCGCTTCTGCTTTAAAAACTTGGAACTGGAGCCAAAATGCAATAGCAGGTCCTCCCAGGCCAGGCTCAGGGGGCTGCTGGATGCTCACCATTGGCCATCCAGCTGCTGGGCTAGGGACGAAACAGGTGGGCAGTGTGGCCACTCTGTCACCCCGAAGGGAAAGGTGGACCCTCAACAGCCCGACAAAGACCATTTCAGAGAGGGCCACGCTCTGCTGAGGCTGGGCGGGCTCTGGGTGCTCAGCAGATGTTTCTGAGGGAAGAAACAAGTTTTTTTTGGAGGGAAGGCGGGGGGCCCTCTCTGCTTTTGAGAATTTGGGGCCCAAGGGCAGCACCACCTGTCAATCCCGCTGTCCACTCCTCCTGGCATCAGAATTAGGCCTTGGGTGTGAACAACACTCGTCCCCACTCATCCCCTGCTGGGGGCAGTCACTGCCGGAATGTGGAGACTGCACACCCCTCACCAAGCAGGTGTGTCCCGGGGAGGTGGGGTGTGTTTGTGGGGCGCCATCTTGAATGTGGTTCTTTCAGAAAACTGCTTTAAGAGGGTGACCTCTTGGCTCTTTCTGTGTCTTTCTGTGGCCGTTGGGGTGGGGGTGGGGCAGTGCCTCGTTCCATCAGAATCTGGGAGAGTCGCTGAGGTTTGGAGATTTTCCGAGGTGGTGGGAAGCTCCCCACGGAAGCGGGGGGACTTCCTGCCAGGATGGCATTGGGGACATGCAGAGGGAGGAAGGCCCCTGAACTCTGCCCTGAGGAACCCTCACCTGCAGAGATTCTGGAGCTTGAGAAGGCCCCCTCTCCATTGTCCCTTCGTGGGAGGGGTTCGGCTGGGGCCAGAAGAGGCTGTTGAAGCGTGGACTTCAGAAGCCAGCCCTCTTTCTCTCTCCGTCTTTCTCATTGTCACTGTCTCTCATTCGTGTCTGAGGAGAAACCAGCCTTAAACCCACAAGGCATCAAATGTTGCATCCTTAGGACCCGAAATGAGATAAGCCCAGAGCCGTCTGCTCTGTGGATACTCACATCCCCAGGAGCTGATTCCTCCTTGTTCTCCTCCAGACCCGGCCCACAGGGTGACAAGTTTACAGGCTTGGCGTCGGCGGCATATGCAATTTTGCATTCTGCATTTGTTACTGAACGTTTTCTGAATGGATTCCCATGCTGCAACATGATCTTCTCCATTATCAGCAGCACTCAAGCAGATGAAGCTTGGGTTGCAGGTCCTGTGTCCATATACTACAAAAACCTTAAATTTAGACTGGTCCACCAGGAGATGAGGATTTCTACAACAGAGTGGACAAAGGCTGACTTGATGCCTGTGACGGGCTTGTCTGTGCCTCATGGAGCATCATATGTGGGCCCCAGATGAGGCAATGGCCAGAGCATTTGGTGGCTCTCTGAACTGATGATGGAAAGTCCCCCTTACTTCGGGCTCCGCTAACTGGAACGATGTCAGAACAGGGAGTGAGCTGAAGTTTACGTTGACCCAGTCTGTGAAGTGTTGGCCAAGCACGTGTGGACCCTATAAGCGGTGGCAGGGGGTGTTTTTCATCATCTTCTAGAAGCCCAGAGGACTTCAGTTGCTTTAGAAAGTATCTCTGGGAACTTCCTGGGGCACCATAGAAGCAGGTACGAGAGGTTTGATTTACCCAGGGGCTGATTCCAATTTTTTATGTGCTCACTGAAGCAGGTCAGCTGTGGACCTTCAGTCTGGACTCAGGTGGAATGTTTTACGGCTTTCTGGTACGAAGACTACCTTTTCAGGAGACTCTCTGATTTAGACTGACTGCTACTTTGGCCCAAATTAATGAGGCTAAGTGCCCGAAGACGTTTGGGTGCTGGATCTGTGCTGTTATAATGCTTTAGATCCTACTCTCGTAGGGACGTTCCCCCTCATGTCGGGCCTGGGCTGTCAGCAGGGATGTGCACTGTGCCAGTCATGGAATATGGCAGGTCCCCAGGGCCGGAGCACCCGACAGCTTTTGGAGATCTCTAGCCTCTTCGCTAAAGGCGCACCACTGGTGTGGGTTTTCATCGTAGGTAGGGAGAGGTAGGCAGATGGAGTCTCTTTAGAAAGACTGAGATTTCTAACTCTGGGCCCGTCCAGGTACTTGCTCCATAGAATAGAAATTGTCTTCAGGACCAGGTTGAAGCCAAGCATTGGTTTCTTCCTCCAGGCACCATTCCGTGATCTCTGACGCAGACCAGGCTCCTCACTGGGCACAGAGAGGCATCCTTGAAGCACACGGGGTCCCTGCCACCCCCCCACCCCCCAGGGCTCCACATGTGGGCCACAGCCTCCCTGATTGCTGTCCCCACAGTCCCACCTCCGACACAGTGCATAACACGGGTCAGATTCTGTGGTTATTCTGCAATAGTTTTTTTTTTTTTTAAGAGTTTATTTATTTGAGAGAGAGAGAGAATGAATGAGTGGTGGGGAGGGGCAGAGGCAGAGGGAGAAGGAGAAGCAGACTCTGCACTGAGCAGGGAACCCGATGTGGGGCTCGATCCCAGGACTCTGGGATCATGACCTGAGCTGAAGGCACACGCTTAACTGACTGAGCCACCCAGGCGCCCCTCTGTGATAGTTTTTAATGTGTTTATCGCCGGTCTCTCCCACTACTGTTGAGCTTCACGAGGACAAGAGCCATGTACGTTTTGTTTCCTGTTATGCCCTAGCCCAGTGCCTGACACACAGTGGTGCTTAATACGTACTTGTGCTTGTTGGATGAAGGAATGATCCCACCTAGTCCTCCTAACGGTCCCAGCAGGGAGATCCCATTTTTCACCATTGATCCCCATTTTACACATCGGGCAGCTGAGGCTCAGAGAGTGAGGGGATCTTGCTGAAGGTTAGAGAGCTTGAGCTAAGATTCGAGGTCTGAACAGC